TTTTTTTTTTATCTAAAATAATAACTATTAATCTTTTTTTGAATAAACCAATAACCTTTTTAATTAATCTTAATCTTTTTTTTTATTCTTTAATTTAATTATATTGTTAATTCACTTTTAATGAGTCATTTTGTTTAATATTTCAATTTAATCAACCCTTTGGTTTTTATCCTAATAACTAGAAAACTCCTTTTTAATAAAATTAATTCATGTTAATTCATTTTTTTTGCTAATTAATTTAAATTAATCTTTCTTTCAAATCAACTTAATAACACTTTATTTGAATAATATGTTTATTCATTAAAAAAAAACTTTTATAAATTACTTACACCTAATTGCAATTTGTCTAATTAATAATAAAACCAATTTAGTATTTTAGAATAATAAAAACAACCTTTTTATTTCATAATCAATATAATTAACTTTTAAGAGCAACCATGACTTTTATATAAAATAAATAATTTTATTTAATATAATAAAAATTAAAATCATTTAGTATATTAAAACATTTTATTTAAAAAAAACCTTGTCTAATTTAATCTCGCTTAAAATCAATCCGACTACAATCAACTCAACCTCGCTTAAAAACAAACAACATCGTAATACAATTAATCGTGCACACTTACGCCTCGCTCCGATCCGTTCACATTCACAATTCACTCACTTACACCCTAGCGCTTTCATGCGTATGTATGGTTTTATTTATCTGCCTTTTATCATCGCAATTTATTTTACAGCAATTTACTTTATCGCATTGCATTCCGTCCAAAGGAAGAACCTACACATGATTCAACACTTGTGTGTATTGCATCTCATTTGCATCATATCCCCCTATGATCCTTGATCCCATTCAAGTCGATCTCTTATGTTTAGATCCTACCCCATAGGAATGACCTTTATCTTTACAACATAGAGACAAACTGAATTCAACTAAATACAACTATTCAAACACATTAGAGAATAAGATGTTAATCATCTTAAGCGAGATAAAACTCTGACCCCATAACAATTCAATCAATCAATTTGTAGGGACTTTGCCTTAAGAGAGATAGAGGCGTACTTGTCGATTAAATTTCCGAGTACTTGAGCCTTTCTCTTAAGACGATGCAAAGACTATTTTCCTACAAAGTTGTGGCGGTTAAACCAAGTAATCTCCCTTAAAATGATAACTCATCTTTTCTCCTAAAATCAATCAATCAACTACCCTAAACCTGTAGGAACTTTGACCACAGTCAAAGAACTCCTCAAACCCTTTAGGGGAACTACAGATACTCTGATTCCACTCCCGTAAGGATATGTAGGCATAAGATGCGATGAGTATACTTAGAAATAAATCCCTAGGTCTTTTACCCTTTAAGCAGATAAACCTTAGCAAATAAACAAACATAAAAACAAAAGGTTCCTGTAGAGTACTACAGAAACTTAGAATGCTAGCACCTTCCCTAAGTTTAACCAACCCCCGAACCTATAACTCTCTAACCTTTGCATTTGCATTGCATTATGGGTATTTCGATCTTTATCCCTTCCTTTGGACAAATTAAAGTTCGGTTGCAAATGAATTAAGATTCAAGCTCATCAATAGCTTGGTATCCAAATTTCACCGCGACAATATTGTAGCTGCTAGTAGGGTGTGTTTCTACAGGGTGTTTGCAGAATATATGTGGTTGTGCAACTCTTCAAGGGGAGTAGCATAGGATGTTGTGCTTCACATGTGATTGTGCACTTCAGGATGTCATCCTGAATGTCATAACATCCAAAGCAGACTGGATGAATATGTGTGACTGCAGGGTGTTTGCAGGTTGTGTGCATTGATGTGCTGTACATCAGTTGAGGGAGAGTAATCCAGAATGTTACTCACTATATTGTGACATCTGTAGTACTGACTAACAGATGGTTATGTGTGAATAGGTTGATCCTGAGATCTAACAATATGAGCGTGTAGACAACACTGATAGTGTGTAGCTAGTAGCTTTCCTGCATGTTATGTTAGACTTCTGCTGCTTGTAAACTCTGATATGTTAACAGGGTGTTTTAGCCAAAAAATTGCCAAAGGGGGAGTTTGTAGATGCTTTTGATTGGCTTCATTTTATGACAAAACATTAATGTATGAGTAAATGTCATAATTGATGTTAGGACATACATGAAGAGTGTTATGCAGGGAAAGCAAAGAGTATGTGAAGCTGAATGTCATGACTGAATGTTATGACATTGATCGTATGACATCATGGTGCACAGGGTTTGTTTTTCTGTTATTAGCTTAGGCTATACTTTAGGAAACAATCGAGGAAGCATAGTTATTTTAGACAACATAACAGGCATTGCTAAGGATAACATAGAAGGCTCATGACCTAATGATAAGTGCGCAGCTTCATGAAGAAAGGTTTATCTTGGGTAAACCTAAATTCTCTACCAAGGCCCAACGCAGGTCTGCTACTATAAGTAGCAGAAGGATCATTCCTAATGGGTGGAGACACAGAGGATAGAGCTTCTAGTGAGAGATCATAGAGTGTGTTTTGTGAGTGAAGAGGTTTGCTCTTCACGTTTGTCTAGGAGTCTTAGGATTCCTTGTGTGCCAAGCAATTGTATGCTGTATAATTGCTTTGGTTATTGTGTATGAACAGGTGTGTTCATTGTGTCACTCAAAGTTGTTAAGCAAGAGTGTGTGTCACTTGATCAAAGCTGTGAAGCAAGATCAAGGTGTGTTTGAAGTGAGTCTTCATATCTGTTTTGTAATTGTGTATTGATATCACTGCGGTGATTGAGGGGGAGTGAGTGGGTATACTCAGGTCTAGTGGTCTCTAGGCTGAAGTGTCATTGGGTAGGTCTTAAGTGAAGAGTGCAAACTGCGATTGTTTGACTCTGAAGTAATTCTACTGATAGTGAATTTCCTCCCTGACTTGGTAGCCCCCAGATGTAAGTGTGGTTGACACTGAACTGGGTGAACAATTACTTGTGTTATTTACTGATTTGCATTTACAGCTTATTATTAAGTGCAATAGTCTATGTTACAGTGGATGTCATAACATCCGTGATAACATCCATCGTGTGCTTGCCAGAATTTCAATCACTATGCCACAGTTCTTCACAACATTAAAGAGTTTCTCTTTAGAAAATGACAAATTCAATATTTCATATTAAGAAATTTTTGTGTATTGAGTATTCAACAAAACACGAGACTGATAATGGTGCGGCGTAATGGTCTTTTGCACAGTTTCATATAAAAATCATCACTCCCCTAAATTTTATTTTTTTATATAATTTATTTTTTTTTCTTTTCTTTTTCACTTGAAAAAAAAACCATTCTCTATCTTTAATCTTTAATGTTTTGTTATTCACACGCCCAATTATCCAATATGAATTAAAAAATATTTAGACATATTTCAATGTTTTTTTTAATGATCAACGTGTTTGCAATCTTTTGCTCTTCTTTCATTTTGCTCTTATCCACACATGTCCACGTAAGTTTTACTTATGCTTTCACTTTTTTTCTTATCTCAAACTTAAATATATTGAAATTAAGTTTAACCATTTCTTTTTTAATGACTAAAAAAATTACTCGAAATTTAATTTAAGGTTTATTGTCTTTTTTTAAATGATCATTTTTTTCTTCTTTTTCTTCCCTCCTTTTTGTCATATGGTAGAATTTATGACAATTAAAGTTTTGAGATTACAATGTTTATAATGTGACAGTTACACCTCTACATAAATAAAAAGTCTTTTAAAAATCAATATAAGATTTTAAATTTTCTTAATATACCATTTTATTCATCTCTATCGGTATTGAATTTATTACGTGAATATAATTTGATCACTAAACTAAAAATTTATGTAAAAAAGTTAAAGTATAAAATTATTTTTTAAATTATTTTTTTCAATACAATTTTATTATAAGTAGATTTCTTAATTTGTGTGTGTTAGGGGCATAAGTTAGCATTACTCTTATATTAAAATTAAAAATCAATTTAATCTATCTCTTGCATTTTAAAATGACATTTGTTTTTTACATAAATTTTTTTCAAACACTATTTCTAATTAATGTAAGACTTGATATAACTTAAAATTTAAAAATAAATTAGACGCATGAATATAAAAAAGCAATTTAAAATTAAAAAATCAACACTAAAATTAAAAGAATGCTAAAGGTCAAATATGCATTTTCTTTTTAATAAAGAACGAAACACATTAACCATAAAATTTATTATAAATAAAAATATATAAAATTTTAATGGAAAAATAAAAAATATATTATCAATAAAAAACTTATATAGTATTTGTTACTTTTAACTATAAATATCGCATCCTTGTTAGGATATATATCACTTAAGCAATGTATTTGGTCATTTCTTTTTGCATTTAAATACAATACAATGTTTTTAAACTTTTTTTAGTTGTCAAATTTTATATAATAATATAATATTAATTTTGAATTTATACTTAAAATAAAACAAAATAATACTGGTACATTTTACAAATACCAATGTGTGTGTCTGTCACTCTGGAATTCAGCAAATTTTATTCTAGCTTTTCATATGTTTTCAAAAAGATGACACCACAACACTAACAAATCAATAGTATTTCAAGTGTTATGGAGTGTTCTTAATGTTACTTTCAGGTAACCTCAATTATCTCTATTCTAAGCACAATCTTTTGTATTTTTTTTTATTTTTTATGTTGATCTACATTTGCTTGCTCGTGTATGTTTCACACATGCTTCAATTTTTTAGTTTCAAATTTAATGTTGAAATTAAGTTTTACATTTAAAAGTCGATCTAGCTAAATTCTGTTTAAATAAGATCTCATAAACTTGTTAAATTAAAATTAAATAAGATCTATATTTATTTTGTCACAGTTAAATTGTGATTAATTTATGCGAAATTTGTCTGGTACAGTGATGTCTTGCTTTTGCTGCGATTTAATTATCTCATTTCTTTGTTCATAAGCAGGATCAGACAGTACATTAAAATTATAATCTTTGAAGTGTGAATCCAGGAAAATCAACCATGGTGAACAATAATTTTGTTCCAAATGGTGTTCTATCATCTAGTGAAGAAACATTTGTTGCTAGGGTGTTAGAAGGAAAAAGATGGTCACAAATTGAAGATAGAACCACAGAGCTGCTTCAATGTGTTCATCTTAATCATAAATCAGAAGCACTTAGAAATAATATTATTTCTTACTTAAAGGGCCTCATCACTAGCAATGTCCCTTGTCAGGTACCAAAGCTATGCTTCATTTATGACATCATTTGTTGGATTTCGATTCCATGTTATAGGATTTTTCTGCAAATTTACAGTGTAATTGATTGGAGTCGTTGATTTGAGATCGGACGGATCTAATTTTAAACTCTATTTCGCACTGTCAAATGATTTTAACTGGCTATTTTTTTTATCAAACGGTGCTTATTGCAAAGTCATGCTGTTACATCAGGAAATTTGATACTGTCATTTTTTTACCTGTTAATTGTTTTTGGTGAAGTTATAATATTACATATAATCTTTATTATAATAAAAAAATATCTTTTTAAATACATCGAATTGAAAATTATCTAAATTATATATTAATCAAATACGATAATTGTACCCATCATTTATAAAAATTATTCATAGATAAAGTAAAAATCTACAAAATAGGTAATAGGTATGAGCAAAATTTATTTATAAAAATAAGCTCGTTCCACATTCGCAGAATATATATTTATATATTTTTATTTTTATCTTTATTATATAATTTATAAAAATTAATTTATCAATTTTATTAAATAAATCACTATTAAATTTATATATATATTTTAATATAAAAATTTGTTTGTTTCTTAACTCAACATTATTATTTCTGATTTTAATATTGTTAAAAAATTAAAAGGATGTGATAAATTATACATGATATATTATTTTTTTTAGTAATGCAACGTGGATAAAAGGATATGAATAGAAGTATGAATATAAATATTGATGTCTAGGTAAATGTGAGTTTTAATACGAACTTTTTTTTCAATCGAAGAATTATATAGTGTTGTGGTCAAACTCTATTCATTGTCATTTTTATTAATTATTTAGTGTATTTAAATTTAAAATTCATTAGTGATCGAAAAATATCATTAATTTAAATATAAATTTATATTTTAAATTATAATTAAAAATTTAAAAGTATATTTTTTAAATCATCAGAGATTTTGATCAAATGGTCAATGAAATAGTGATTTATTTTTGACATAAAATATTTATGAATTATCAATCGTTTGTTGGTCTAATAATGAGTTGAATTTGACAAGAAGATCACAATTCAATCTCTAATAAATACAATTGGAGAAAGACTAAAATTTTTTAATATTAAAATTCATTTCGAATCGAATTAGTCGGTTTAAAAAATAGGCACTTGTGGAGAAAAAAAATTATGAGATTAAATTTTGCGTCATATTGTCTTTATTTATGAACATATAGATTTTATTTTGTTTTTTTAACAACAAGATTTTATCTTAGTTTAATATAGGCAATAATTGAACGAAATATAGTGATTTAGAGCATCTTTAATGAGAGTAAACTAAATGGATAAACTTAGATATTTTTTTGGGCCCAAAGTGTTTTGTAGGATTTAAAAAATTTATAATTGATTTGAGTAGTTTTTACTTTAATGATGATTGTCTATAAAAAACCAAAATTTAACCCCATATTTTATATTTTTTATTCAAGTTACTATTAATTTAATTATTTTAATTAAAATGCATACAATTTTTTTAATAAAATTTACCTTAAAAACTTAGAAATAATATTAAATATATTTTATTATAAAATTAAAAATGATACAAAATTCACAACAATAATACATAAAAAAAATTACATTTTCATAGGAATATAAAATAATACATGACAATAAAGAGTACCATATGACCCTCATGATTTAACTTTAATCCTCATGTTTTCTCTTTGATACACACAAAGTAGAGTATGATTTAACTATAAGTCTCATGATTTCTCCACCATACACACAACTCATGAAGAGTACCATGATTTAACTTTAACCCTCATGTTTTTTCTTTAATACACACAAAATACACACAACGTAGAGTATCATAGAAACCTCATGATTTAACTCTAAATCTCAGGATTTTTCTTCAATAAATCCTATAATTGTGAAAACAACATAAAAGACTCAATTTGGTGATAGATATATTGAATCAAAGGTCTCATCTTCCACAGCTATAAATCAAATGTCATATTTAACTTTATTTTTGTTTATATAAAACCACCCCCAAACCTTGAAGTTGAAATTTTTATGTTTATTTGCGTATTTTTTCACTTTTAAAGTTCACTTTCATTTAAAAATTCTTTAAGTTATAAGTTAAGGTATTTTCAAGTATATGCATGTCGTTTAAAGTTTTATGTTTTTAAACCAAAGTTTTATGTTTTTAAACCAAAGTTTTAAAAATTCATGTTAGTATTAGTTTGTTTGGTCATGATTGATTTATTTTGTATTTGAATTGGCGTGTACATAATTGATTTTAATAAAATTGAGTTTAGTAGAATTGATTTTAATAGATTTAAGTTTAGTAAAATGTGTTTATATTTGAATACATTCATGTAAAAGTGATTTAAAATCAAAAGTTACTTAAAAAAATCAAACATGTTAAATTTATGTTATTAAGAAAAAACATATAAACATGTTTTCTATTGAAATATTTCATTAGTATTAAATAATATTATAATATGTTTCTCATTAAATAGTTACGGTATAAATAATGAAAACTAAATTTTAATTCATTAGATACTATAATGCAAATTTTTTTATTAATAATGTAAGTTATACAAAATTTTGGTTTAACAATCGCGCGCTAATCTATAAGAAACATCCTTAGACATTTAAGAAATCATATATTCAAATATTTTGCCCTAAAAAATAAAGAAGAAATTATCCTTCTTCCTTGCAATTTTATTTTATCACTTTCAATTCTTAAACATCAAAATCTTTTTATACAAAATTTCATGTTCGAATATCTGATTTTGAAAAAACAAGCAAGTGATTGATTCGCATTGTGAGTATCGTATTTTTGATAGTTAAAAATGAAGATGATTGAATTGTATGAACAACAACGTGTTTTCTTTGTTGCTTCAGGTTTTTGAATTTGGATCGGTACCTTTGAAGACTTACTTACCTGATGGGGATATTGATCTCACAGTTTTTGGCATCAATCAAATTTTGCCTGAAAATTCCATTCATGAGATTCTGCAAATCATACAGAATCAAAAGGAAAATGAATTTGCTGAATTTAGGGTTAAAGAGGTTAAGCTTGTCCAAGCAGAGGTATGTGATTGGTTGAGTTTGCTTATAGTGTTATTCATTGCAATGCAATGCATTTTTATTTATAATTCAATGTTTTGTGTTGTGGTTTTCATTTCCTATGTTTGTTGTACGACTGATCTGAATATTGTTAGTCATTTCTAAATTTAGTATGAAATTTGCCAATTCAAAAGGGATTAGATTAGGTAGTTTTTGTGAACTTATGATTGAAGTAAACTAGCAGTACGATTCTAGATTTTAAATAACGGTCACGCAAAGGTTTTCGCGATTTCGGTCAGTACAGGTCTTGCGACGCTGATTACGTTCGCTGCGTATGAATTAACCACAGTTTTACTCTTTATCACAAAAATAGTGAATAACAATATTGGTATCGGCATCTTCCAATACCATTTTGTTGCGGCTGTTTTTGTGGTAGCGGACCATTTTTTAAAACCTTGTTGAGAATGAAAGATGATGCTATGAGATTGTCTCTTTTTGATCGCATTTGACCTTCCTTTATATCAAATATTTGCTCTTGCATGGTAATTGATACGAATATGTGTTTCTCACATTTTATGTGTTTCTTCTTGTTGATCAATGTCAGGTGAAGATCATAAAGTGCTTGATTGAAAATTTTGCAGTTGACATATCTTTCAACCAATTGAGCGGTTTATGTTCACTTTGTTTTTTCGAGGAGGTAATATATTATAATGGGAAGTTGGGATTATCAAGCATATTCTTTTCTTTTTCAAGATCTCTAACAAAAAAAGTTTTGTTTCAGATTAATCATTTGATAGGACATCATCATATCTTCAAGCGTAGTGTTATTTTGATAAAAGCTTGGTGTTACTACGAGAGCCGCCTCCTGGGTTCCAATAGTGGACTGTTTTCAACCTATGGGTTGGAAATTTTAGTATTATACATATTTAATCTTTACAACACTGATTTTGCTGGACCACTTCAGGTGAAAAACTTGTTTGCTTTGGTATAAATATTAATATTGATGTGGCTTATGAAGAATAAGAAAAGAAAATTTATGTTATTGTTATTCTATTGTTGGCATTATCTTAGGTACTATTTCGATTTCTGGAGTTCTTCAGTAAATTTGACTGGGAAAACTATTGCATTAGCTTGAGTGGACCAGTGCCCAAAGATTCTCTTCCTAATATGATAGGTTTGTGAAAAAAGTTCTTGTGTGTATCATATCTCGAGAGTAACTTGATTTCTTCATTATCACTGATAGCCTTTACTTTATTTTTTCTGAATTCAAAATCATAATAGCCGAGTCTCCAAGAAAAGATTGCCGAAGCCAAGACTTACTGCTCAATGAATTGTTTCTTAATGCTTGTAAGACTTGTTATGGTAATATGCCACGCAGTCAGGAAAATCACGAGAGACATTTTGTTACCAAACACATCGACATTATAGATCCTTTGTGTGCAGATAACAATCTGGGGCGTAGCATCAGTAAAGGTATTTCTCTATAAAACCTTGGCTGAAACATTTCTTTTCATTAAAGATGTTTCTGTATTTGCAGTAAGTGGAAGAAAAAAAGAGTTAATTTATGATATTTTTGTGTTTACAGTATTTTCTTAAGAGCCATGATTTCTTCCCACTTTTGTGTGATATTTTATGTGATAAATTAGTAAATGCATTTTCAACCCACAAATGGAATTTTGATAAACAAAGTCTCTACATAATTTGGATTATGCTGAGTAATATCTCTGTGGATCCAAACTAATGCAAGTTTTAAATTTAAGGATAATAATCTATATATCGAGAGCTAATACAAGCTAGCTGATGGGTTACTTGGGTGGCCTCTCTCTTGTACTCTGCCTATGGTATATTAGAAGTTGTTTTATTGCACTCTTCAACTTCTTTTATAATTTTTTTCTTCCTGTTTTTTAATTCTAGTATTTTCTCAAGAAGATAGCTTATTTTTCCAATTACTTGTGTTTCTTCTTCTATCTGAATATCTGAATGTCTGGTTATAGTATCTCAGGAGTAATTTATCTGATCCCCTGGTTATACTCTACTTTACAGGTAGTTTCTTTAGGATAAAGAATGCAATTGCTTTTGGTGCTAAGAGGATGCTGAGAATTCTAGAATGCACGGATGAGAATCTAATTGCTGAATTTGATTACTTTTTCAAAAACACATGGAATAGAAATGGGAATGGTTATTGGATTCATGTAAGCGTTTATAATCTTTATATAAGACATAGAAAATTTGGAAAGCCAACGCGTCAAGAATCTGAGGATGAGCAGGCTCTAGCTTCTTGTGAGTATCAATATAATAACCAAAAGCCTGGTAACCAATTATCAGATGTGGGACTGCATAAGGAAGAGCCTGATTGTTTGAATAAAACAGAAAGTAGAAGGAATCTTCAGGTGAGTGGATATTTGCATGCGCTGATGGGTCAGTCTGCTGCTAAGGAAGAACCCGGTGTTGGGAATATGACTGAAAATAGCAGGATTGAATATCTGGAAGCAGTAAAAGGTGCCAAGTCAGAAAACAATGAGGTAGTGAGGCAGCAAAAGGAAGAGCATCATTTGGAGAGTACTACGGAAAGTTGTACGAGTCTCATGTCCAATGGATACCTGCAGGCACTTTTGGGAGTGAAAAAAAGTGATGCATCTTTTTCATCACCACCACCAAAGATATCTTTCTCTCTAGATGTAGTTCAATTTCCAGAACTACAAGAGTTTCCCCGTGGAAAAAGGTCATTAAATATGGTACAAGACAGTGTTCATCCACCTGCTGTAATAATCACAGATAGTATTGTGATGAACCCAGAAATCTGTAAAAACACACCAGCTTCAGACTCGACCTCAGAGACCACACTCTCATCCTTGCCTCTGAAGCCAACTTATCCTCAAGAAGTCCTTTGTCCATCAACTGAGAACGCGAACATCTTCAGGCATGAGAACACCACTGCTGAATCTGATGCCTTAAATGTTCATGCGCTTCAATCACCATATGCATCTGGTTCATCTGAGATAGAATTTCCATTCTCAATCAGTAATAGCAGTCATGTTGAAGCTTCAGATTATTTAGGGAACCAATTTTCAGATATTTTTAATGGTGATTTTTTAAAATATTGGACAAATCTTCAATATGGGCGATATTGTGAGAATGGACCATTAGAGGAGCCTTTGCTTTATCCTCCCACTTTTGAACTTCCGGTGGATTTTCAAGAGCAATATCATTTGAATAGGAGGCCTTCAAGTTCTACGAGCGCTGTGGCTCCCGTAGTTCCTGATATGCCACCAACACTTGCTTCTGATTCGCATGAAGGCGTAAATCAAAACGTTTCCTTTTGGCTTCCCAGATTTAGTGGAGGCACTGGGTCTTTCATGCCAAATCCACTTGCTTACGACCAGGTTAATACTTATTTCACCCTTTCAGCAGCAAATGTTCTATTTACTGTCATTTTTGCTGGTTCGGTTATGCATAATATGTTTTTAATGTTTAAACTTTATGCAGAGATATTACGACCGTGAGCTTTACAACAAACATCAGATTGCAAATTACAGATCTGAGAGACCTGGGAATTCAAATTTCGACTCAAGGGGGGCTTCTAGATCCAACAATGTGCCAAGAAATTTGAATTCTAATTTCCGGGAAAGGTTTCCCAGCCGTAGCCAGAAATATTACAGACCACGTGAGAAACCAGGTATCTATATGGTTCTTTCTCTGTGGCCAGCGTGCCATATGACCATTCATCCACCACTAAATATTTGCACTAGTCAGTCAGATTTGTCGTTTATTTTTCTATAATGATATCTTAAAATATATATACAATGATTATAATAAGTGGCTTTGCTTGTGCTTGGTTCTCTTAGAAGATAAAAAGAAAGCATTGCATCAAGGTGAAGGGTCAAGTAGTGCCGTTAATGAACTAAAAAATTTTGAAAAGGGCTCTAAAGATATTTCTCCACATCAGCCCTGATTGTAATCCAATTTTATCAGGTAATGCTTTGTATTTTTCACTTTCTTCTTTCCCCATTTAAGGGCTTTATTTAGCACCAACAAAAGGTAGATAAAATGAAATTAATTTGCAAGAGGTCACAGAAAATTTAGATTTTCTGGAACTTCATTGGTGTCAGCTGTTTCCTTTCACAGCCTGTACCACATGATAAATGGGATACTCAATTCAAACTTATAGGTTGAACAAAATAATATGCCATGCTTAGAGTGTATAGGTTCTTGCAGATATTGATTTAATGAAAATGTGGAATGTGACAGATTTATCGTTTAACATGAGTTTATGATATTGATGATTTTGTCTTACCACTTATCAGGCTTTGGCGGACATAGGTGTTGGTGATTGTGTGCACCTGCACGCCTTGAACTTTTAAAACTTAAACATGCCACCCTCTATTTTTTTTTGTTGCATTTTGAACCCTCTGGATATTTTTTTGCACTGACCTTCTCGCCGTTACTCTTTCTCATGCATAAAACTCCATCTCCTTGTTCCTCCTCTTGGGCAAACCTTCCCCTCTCTCTTCTGTTCAGTTTCCACTGCCTTCCTTCATGCAATGCAATGCCTCTAACACCCGTGAATATAACAACAACTCAACAAGGTAACAAATCTCAATTAGAATTCATATTTAGGGGTTTTAATTTTTTACAAGACTCTACAACAACAACAGCTCAGCCTTATCCACTAAATGGGTCAGCTACATTAGATTGGTTATGCAATTGGAACTATTAGTAATATATTTTTGCGATGTGAAATCATTGTTAGGGTATTTTATTATTCTTCAATATTGAGTTTTGTGGGATTGTTTGTTGCAATGTGAAATACAAGATATAATGATATACTTAGAATACTGTGTTGTTTCTAAATGGGTTAATGGTTCTGTATTCTATAGGCAGAAAATGCAAGCATTATAAATAACAACTTTCTGGATTTGGCTTTGTAAAGAGATGCATGTTCTTCATAGAGTCTTGTCATATGCAAGTATATCATTTGTTATGTTTTCACATGTTGAGTCATTTATGATTAAAAACTCATGCCATCATTAGACAATTTAATTTCGTAACTTTTACGTGCCATCATTAGATTTTGACGATTTTGAACTTAAATAATTTGAATCTGTTGCCCACTGTCTATAATGTCTTGGATATGCTGCTGTTTATGATGTTTTGTTGCCTTGAATTGAACAGTGTTGATCTAAATAGATGCTGATTTACTATATTAATTATTATTATTATTATTATGAACCAGAAAGATTTTCCTTATTTGTTTGTACTTCCTCCTACTAAACCTTAGACAATTGATCCTTTTTGCACAGACACAAAAATCAGAATCATATTACTGAAAGTATTTTTATATCATCCCTACAGATATTTGGTCCATTTTATGCATTGCTTGAAGAGGGACGGTGTTGTATCTTCAACTCATCAACCCAAGGTTCTCTCAGGTGGTTTTCATCCAGAGTTTCTAGAGCTTGTAACTTTCTAGGCAATATATATTATGTCCTGCTGTCTAATGTTATAAATGTTGTCATCATGTAAAGCTTCTGCTTGTACCCTAAACTAAACTTTGGATCATTGATATCAAACTACAACTCTGAGAAACTATTTTATCTTGAAACCTTTTTTACAAGATGAAAAAAAAAAAAAAGAATATATATATATATATATATATATATATATATATATATATATATATATATATATATATATATATATATATATATATATATATATATATATATATATATATAAGGTTATTATTTTTGTGATCTATATCCTATATCTTAATAACCAATTAGAATATGACCCGCTCAATTCGCAGGTGCGGTGGTAGATTATTTTTTATTTTTGAATTAAATTTTTTATAAAATCAATAAATTTTGATAATATATTTAGTCAACTTATACTATATTATTTTATTTTGTGAATTATACATATATTTTATTGGAGAGAATGGTATAAATTATTCATAAATGATATAAATTTTATGAGAAAGAAAAAAATATTTTTAAAATATGGAAGTGATATATAGTGTTTATTTTTTTTTTTTTTTTATAGATTCTATTCAATCCACTTTTCTTTATAAATATATTCATTGTCATATGAGTTGATTTCTCTCTCTGAATTTATTTAATTCTTCTAAAAGAGTTTCACAATTATTGAGATGGTTTGTGATAAACAATGAGCAAGTACTACATATGAAATTATAAGATAAATTATAGTTTTAGATAAACTTCAAAATATATTTAATAATAAATTAGTAATATATGAAAACAATGTATTTTTTTAGAAAAAGATGAAGACATAATAATATTGCAAGTTGTTTTAAATTGTTCAAGTTTTTCTTGCATGACATTTATCCATTATTCATTTTTAAGGTTTCTTTGACATTATTGAATTTAATTTTGAAGATAAAACACATGTTGACAATTACTTCTTTGGATATGGTGATAACTCTTTCATTGAGATTACCAATCACATTTTTCATATGATACTTTAAAGTTTTTGTGAATGATCATTTGTTTGTTGGAACATTAACCTCTACATCTTCTGAGTCTTCATCTTCAGGCATCAGAGTGATGTTAATACCTTTGTCATTGACATCTAGTATGGTTGAAAAAGAAGAAGATATGGACCCATGAAGGAAAAAATATTACAAAAATGTTGAAGGAGATACAGACAAAATCCATGCACAATACCGTTATAAAAGGGACGCTAGTTGCACGAGTATACAAGCTCTGAGATCAATGGTTCTCTAAGGTGTCCCCAGAGCAATATACATCTTCTATCTAGGAATCACATAATGTGGTTTCTCCAATAGGTGGGACCTGATCGTCATCCACTAATTGGCTTCCACGTACCACCTTAAACCAATCCACCTGGCTCAAATTCAAACCTGACTAAAGAAAGGATATATGTTCCTTCGACTACTCAAAGTATATGTCATAAGTTTCAACCACGTCACCCTTGAGAAAATCCTTTAGTTTTAGGACAACAATAACTGTGAGTACAACTTCCCGTTAGATATATTTTGTATGATATTAAAACTAGGATATTTTATCGTTTATATATATTGGACGATATCCTTTGAGTCTTGATGTGCATCTTAGCATTAGGAAGTATAAAAGTTTTTTGAAAATCATTTAGAAAAGGTTTATGCATATCTAAGCATTAGAAAGCATAAAAACTTTTTGAAAATCATTTAGAAAATGTGTCATGCATTAAAAACAAGTTATTTTTGGTGAAAAATAACATTATGTGTCAACACATACATGCCATAGATCGACACATGTGGCTCATTTTTAAAGCATGTTTTATGTGATGACTGCATAGGTTGGCACATGACCTTTACAAGTCGGCACATAGAAGAAATTTTTTTTATGTGTCGACACATCCGTTTTTCAGGTCGGCACATGTACTGCATTTTTAAAGCATGTTGGCTCTGTTTGATGTGCCGCCTCTACAGGTTGACACATAACCTGTACATGTCGACACATGATCTATTCAGGTCGGCACATGACCTTTACAGGTCGGCTCATGACTTGAATAGGTCGACATATGACTTTCATAGGTCGACCTATGCATCAAAAATATTAAAAAAATTGCATTGTTTTCCATTCCTTTTACATTCCTTTTGCTTCCTACTTGCTCACATATATATACTTGTTACATGCATCATTTCTTTTCAATGATTTTGGTAAAATCATAAACGGAATCTGGAACATACTAAGAGTCTTCTTCATCTTCAACCTTGGTTTTATGCATACGCACAAACAAAGTACACATAGTCATTCATTGTTTGTGTGCCATCTAGAATCAAGTTGATAACGTCCAATTTAGCTTGTGGTTTTGTAAATTGGGTTGAGATCTTAAGGGGGTTTCAAATGAGAAAACCAAGGTGTAGTTTTTCTTCAAGATCAAAGAGGAGATTTGAAGGTTTTGGACAAGATTGCTCAAGTTGGATTCGATCGAGTGAAAGATTTGAAGAGTTGTGGTTCTTGGAAAGGAATAGCGTGAGATGGTGAATCATCTTGGTAAATCTTGGGTTACAACAGTTCTCAATTTAGATTCGATAGAGTGAAGGCTTTGAAGAGATGATGTTCTTTCAAAGGACTAGCGTGAGACAATGGATCATATTGGTACTGTTGGGTGACAATAATTTGCAATTTAAATTTGATCGAGTGAAAGCTTTGAAGAACGAAAGGTTCTTACAAAGGAGTGTTGTGAGACGATGAATCAAATTGGTATTGTTGGGTCACTTGATCAAGTTTGATCAAGGGAAGAAAAAGTGTCAGAATCAACATCAAACTTAGAGTTTGTAGAACTGGATTGCTACATTTCTCTTGTATATGCATTTTGTAAAGTAAGGTTAATTTCATTATCTCAATTCGAATTCGAATTGAGGGCATACCCATAGCGAGGTTGATTTGGAAATTTCCTAAACAAATTTTTGCGTACTCTCTCTCTCTCTCTCTCTCTCTCTCTCTCTCTCTCTCTCTCTCTCTCTCTCTCTCTCTCTCTCTCTCTTACATTTTATTTGTAAATGGTTGAGTTCATCATTTGTGTGATTAATTCGTTTGGTAAATTCTTTTGAAAGTCATTTGAAAATCCTTTTGTTGAGTTGATCACAAGCCTTTTGATTGTGGTCGGATTTTAAGATCAACAAAACTTTACAAATTTTCAAACAAAATCGATTGCACACAAGGTGTTCGATCATTTGTCTCAAAAGTGTTTTTGTATGATTTATCATTGAATATAATATTGCTTGTTGAATAACTTTCAAGGGATTGCGATTGAAACAAATTAATTGAATAGTTTATCATTATCTTCAATTGATTTTCATATACGCATATCTGAGCTTTTCGATAGCGATTTGATTTAGACGAATCGATCCAAGTCACTTCCGCTAGCCATTGTTTTTTAAAACAACTTTTTTTAAAGTAATTTTTATTGGATAACTATTCACCC